GAGCGGTGGATTCTATACTACTTTTTGATGGTGCCTGTTTTATACATGAAGGAGGTTCTCCACAGTGAAAATAATGGGTGCTCATTGATGGGGGCTGGGGGAGATAGTTATATTACTACCCTGTGATTTACTGGTCTCCTCCTCCGCTCATTTCTGTTAGCTGTGGCCTAACTGTTGGGTTATCTTCCCGTCACCAGTGATGATTTAGTATGTGGCTACGCTATTCAGCTTTGTTGTTCAGTAAGCACCTAATAAATTACATTTGACACTTGTCAACCTCTAATTTTGAGAAATACAGTTTAGAAAATGGGAGTAATGTGTTGTATGTGAAATTCAAGTAACTATGGAAAATTGTAACGTTGTCCTATTTGTTGCGGAAATAGCATAACCGAATGTTAAAAGAAGTGGCGCACACAGTTCACGGTAAGGTGCAAAACTTTTTTTGCTTGTTTGCTGAACCTGTTTTCAGAGGATACAGCAAATATGGTGTTTTCCTTGCACAGTAATCTTATTGTTGTTGATATATAACGATTATTTTTGTTTCAGTCTACTGAAAATATTTGCTGACAACTGGTTATAATCTGTTCCTCTCCATTCCCTGCTATGTTGCTAGCTGTTCTTTATTTGTAAAGGGACTGCTTTTCATGTTGAAGATCTGGGTAGTCAGAAAACTTCTGAGAAAAGAAAATAACTGTGTTTGACCACAGTTAAATGTTGATCACATTTTCATTCTCCAGGAAAATTTTTACAGTAGGAAGTCCTTGGTTAGAGTCTCAAATGCTGTTTACATCATGATTTCTGAAACTCTTGATGAGAGCTGTTTAGCAAGGCAATATTGTTTCAGTTGAGGTTTATGCTATAATTTTACACTCAGTGTAAATAAGTTAAATTTAAGTTTCATCTGCCAAAAAATGTAAGGTAGTAGTTTAATATGAATGTTCCTCTACCTTAAACAATTAAAGCCATCTTACTCCTCTTTTTTGTCCGAGCAGGCTTTTCTGTATCTCTTATACTTGTTTGGTAAGATATTGAAATTGAGTGAAATTCAGCCTGTCTGTTAACCATATTTTTATTATGAACACTTGTTTTAAATGAGAGCTTCCTAAACTGAGGGCTGGTGGTCCATGGAAAGCTAGCTGGTCATGTGATTTTTGGTTTCTCTTGCCTGTTTCCAGCTGCTGCATTGTATTAACCACAGCTAAAAATGTATCCTTTCGCTACAATAATTTTCCAAATTAATAATTGCTGTAGTTGCAGTCTGAATGTTTATAGGCATCTGACTCAAGGGTTGAAGTTTTCATTAAGCAGCTTTTATTAAAATAGGGCATAATATAAATCTGTTTCAACCATGACATGCAGTCTTTTACATAAGGGCATGATGTTCAATTGTTCTTGGAACTGTTTCTTAACTATTATTTTAACAGCAGGATTGATTTAGGCTTACTTGGAATGGGAATGTTCCCTGCTTTAGACAAGAAATGGGAATTTGGTGCCTAACTCTTTAAGTCCTAAATATCCTTCAATTTGGGCCTACATGCATATGTTCTCCCTTTCTACTGAGATGGGGACATAGGTGAATTGATTACTTTAACTGGTGGGATTAGTTACCTCATTTGCCTGCTTGTGTACCATGTATCTGCTTCATAGGATACAAATTTAAATGCCAGCTATTTTGGGGCTAACTCTTCATAACGCATTCAAATTCTGGTTCCCCAGTACACTGCATATGGGAAAGATCCATTGGTTATATATTCTTCAACAAACTACTTATTAAAATGTGTGTAATCTAATTGAGTTAGTTTTCAAGTATCAACTGGCAAGTCAACAGTCTGTGATGGTAGGTAGGTAGGGTGCAGGAGCAGAAACTAATGTGGACGCTTTGATTAGTGTAGCGTTCAAAGAACCATGCCAAAACTAGAAGCCAGAGGGCAAAGTAGTAAGCAGACAGATATAAAAGGGATGAGTAGAATTCATAGATTGATAGATTGTAGGGTCGGAAGGGACCACAATGGATCATCGTGTCTGACCCCCTGCCCCTGGCAGGAAAGAGGACCGAGGTCAGATGACCCCAGCCAGGTGATTAGCCTCCTCTTGAAGACCTCCAAGCTAGGTGATAGCACCACCTCTCTTGGAAGCCCATTCCAGATCCTGGCCACCCTTACTGTGAAAAATTTCTTGCTAATATCTAATCTAAATCCACTCGCAACTAGTTTACACCCGTTATTCCTAGTCACTCTCTGGGGTGCCTTAGTAAACAGCGCTTCCCCTAGTCCCCGTTGACCTCCCCTAATAAATTTATAGGCGGCCACAAGATCTCCCCTCAGCCGTCTCTTGTGAAGGCTGAAGAGATTCAGCTCTCTCAACCTCCCCCTGTAGGGTCTATCACGAAGGCCATTAATCATGCAAGTGGCCCTCCTCTGGACCCTCTCGAGATTCCCCACGGCCCTCTTGAAGTGCAGCGCCCAAAACTGGACACAGTACTCCAACTGCGGCCTGACCAGTGCCGCATAGAGGGGGAGCATCACCTCCTTTGTTCTATTAGTCATGCACCTGCTAATACATGACAAGGTGCGATTGGCCTTGTTGATGGCCTCGTTACACTGCCGGCTCATGTTCATCTTGGAG